CGTTCTTTTAGAGCGAGCAAATTATTCTTAAGAATTCATAAATGTTAAATTTGTGTTGTAAACATGTTCTTTACTTTTCTAACATATCATTTTACCATGAAGTCCTCAGTAATATTATATTTTCATAATATACTACATACCTATTTTATTCAAAATATCCCCTATATCCCTATATAGTTTACAATATAGGCTAAGTGATAGATTACTAAGATAGCTGTTTATTGAAGCACATTTGATTGAAGTAGCCTTTTAACATGTGTTCCATTATTTCCAGATAGATAAAGTATATATGTTATTATGTACAAACTTTCAAACAGATTACTTATCAATAGTCAAATAATATTCACGAGTCAATTAAGATCTATTGTTACGCTCTCTCCTGTGCTAAAAAAATAGGTACCGTTGTACGTGAAAAAATAGGACCGCGACGCTAACTATCAATTGTTTATGCATCTTTCATGGACACAACTCGTAACATCGACCCCATTCGAACAAATACAGTCACTTTCACAGACTAAATATTTCACTGGTAACTGGTAGGTAAACCAATCTTATTTTGTCCTAGACCATTAGTAAAACATGCAATTCGCCATATTATTTCAGGTACGCATTTACGATTCACAGATATTTACAGTAGTAATTTACAAAATATTGAATATTTGGATTGATGAACTTAATGAAAATTATCACAATAAAACCACAAAACCTCTTAACAAGTAGACAGATAGTAAGGTGTATCACTATCTTCTGGATTATTACTATCTTGTGCTTGATCAAAAGCTTGATTATTGTCATCATTACTTTCAGATCCGATATGATCATAGTCTCCTTCTACCTTGATGTCCCCAGATCGGATATGATGATAATTATAATCTGCTATCACATTATTGTTATCATTATCACCAATATGATTGTAATCATCTTCACCATTGGAAGTACCAGGTAATCCGTTAATATGGTTATAATCTGCTTCAAGATGATTAGATCTTAGAGACAAATTGTTTCCGATATGATTGTAGTTATCTTCATGTATAGAATGATGGTAAGTTCCGATATGATTATAGTTATCAAGATCTTTTGGAGATTTTACTGTCAGTTTATCATCTCCGACATGATCATAATTATCAGCTGTTTGGATTTTTGGTTTTTGACCAAATTCCATTTCACCATTACGGTTGTTTATTGTAGTGGGTTTTAGATGTGCAGCAGTGGCTTGTACTCTTGGTTTATTGTCCAGTTCTATTTCATCATATCCACTGGTATCTTTACGATTATTAATTGTTCCAGGACCATCAATAACATCATATTGTGGTGTAACAGTTTGTATAGACATGTTCCTATCTGTTATTGATTGTGATGTTTGTGACTTTTTCCTTCTGTAAATAGAGTTAATTTATTATTTGTGTCATTACATTTTCCAAGGAAATCACATATCAGAAAGGCAGTCAAACAATATGTTAAAGAAATTTCAATGTGCATTTACTTTTGCGTATCATTATGTATGGTTTTTCATGTTGTCAATTTGACAAGAACGGTATATGCATTAACATTGAATATTGCGAGTCTGAAAATATTTCATAATCTTACCTCTTGTAAAGAAACAGTACCACTACTATAATAATGACTATAATAATAATAGCACCAAATATTCCTCCAACTACAGACCCTAAAATATCAACATCACAGTTCTGTTAAATTATTAATTAAAGGTAAACATATACAGCTTATTTTCATATCCCTATTTCAACAAATTTTTCAACCTCATTCCCAAACCAACTACCATCACCTACTATCAGGAACTATATCTATACATCAATAGACTAGTTCCAGACATTTTAAAGATAAACAAAGATTTACTTACCCACATCGCTAGTATTAGCAACGACTGACCCTTTAAAAATAAATTATAAATAGTATTATACCTTATCAAATAAATAACATTCATAATGTTTTGATATGATATTACCTATACTTT